GATAGAGAGAGAGAGAGAGATGGATGGATGGATGGATGGATGGATGGATGGATGTATTTACATGTATTTACATGTATTTACATGTATTTACATGTATTTACATGTATTTACATGTATTTACATGTACATCTATACATGTATATATACATACTTAGATGTACACATATAGATGTATTTAGATGGATATAGATGTGTATAGATGTGTCTAGATGTGTCTAGGGGAATATGGGACGTGTGTTTGTAGATGTTTGTAGATGTTTGTAGATGTATAAAGATGTATGTAGATGTGTATCTATAGATGTACATGTAAATATGTATGTATTTAGATGTATTTAGATGTATTTAGATGTATTTAGATGTATATAGATGTATTTAGATGTATTTAGATGTATATAGATGTATTTAGATGTATATAGATGTATTGAAATGTAAAGATATGTGTACAAATGTGTATAGATATGTATAGATGTGTATAGATGTGTAAAGAGGAATATAGATGTTTATAGATGTATCGATGTATATAGCTGGATATAGATGGATATAGATGTATATAGGTGTATATAGATGTGTATGGGGGGATACGGGCGTGTAGATGTTTGTAAATGTTTATAGATGTATCGATGTATATACATGTATATAGATGTATATAGATGTATAAAGATGTATATAGATGCATATAGATATATATATATATATGCATATACATATATATGTATAGATGTATTTAGATGTATATAGATGTATTTAAATGTATAGATATGTGTATAGATATGTGTATAGATATGTGTATAGAGGAATATAGATGTGTATATAGATGTATCGATGTATAGATGAATACATGTAAAGAATTATGGATGTGGATCCGGGTGTGGATATGGATATGATGTAGGTATGATATGAGGATATGATATGGATTTAACCAATTTAGTCTGTAAGTATATTTATATGCAGTTACTGATTAATTTGGGAATATGTGATGTGGGACATTCCTGGTGATACATATATGGTGATATGTGTATATATATATATGATGTATAGAGCTTGATTATTTCATTAGATGTATGACTATCTGCCCAAATACCCTCTGGTAATTTAACATAGCTATTGAAAATTGCCATTTATAGTGGATTTACCCATTAAAAATGGTGATTTTCCATAGTTATGTTAGTTGACCAGAGGGTAGAGCCAACAAAAAATGGGAGATTCCGCAATTTTAGGACCGTTCGGGCTCCGAACTCCTGCAGCGATCTCCGTTTCGATGAAGCATCCAGTACAAAGGAAGAAGCGAAAGAGGCACTGACCTTGGACCAGTGGCTGAGACAGATGGTCGGGGATCAGAAAACCATAGAAAACACATATGTTATGTTTCATCCAAATCCACTGGTGGATCATGATATTTCCCATGAACAATGGCCATTTTTAAAAGGGGGGATGCGTCATTTTCAGACACAGTAGCAGCATGCTGCATCTGCTGGGATGTGCTCTAAGCAGGAAAAAAAAGACCTGCGCATGTTCCACCAGAAAGACATCTGACAAAATTTCAAAAACACAAAAAATGAAAGGTTGAAGAGGAAACTGTTCGACTTTGCGGCTTTTCGAATTTGACCATGTGCATCATCAGTTTTTCGACTTTTCGACTTTTCCATTTTCCTGTAACTTGTTGTTCGACTGTTCATTTTTTCTTTCTCAAAACTGTTTGCGTTTTACAATGGAAAATACACGACAAAAAAGTGTTAGACTTGAATAACATGTATATACATATAATACATAGTACAGTATGTGAACACTACTGTCGCCGGCAGTTTTGACAAATGGCGATGGAGAGATAGAACTATATTTGTATATGTATAGACGCAGCTTTACGTATACATGTATGTATATATATATATATAGATACTAACAAACATGGATATACGAATTTTCATATGTTTTAAGCATATACACATATACCTATAGATGCACATATCTTTAATATACATATATATATATATACACAGTATTGTACATATTTGAGTACGATCAAGCCCGTGCCCATTTGGCATTCCTGTTTTAGTGCCGGTAAGGCATGCAAATTACACATATCTTTTGATCTGCTAAATGTCTCCAGAAATGAATTTTGAGGGAAAAAAGATTCTTATTTCCCCTACTAACAGTATAGAAACAACACACATTATTTGAACTATCATCGAGATTCCCGGGAGTTGTCGAACATGGCAAATATCCTTCACTTTTTTTAAAACTTTCTCGGGAATGTCAAAGAGGATGTCCTAGACTTCGGCTCCCGTTTTGGGTCAGGATTTCATCGATCAAAGGCTGGAATTTTACCCAGCAAGATCAGATGTAGCAAAGACTCAAGTTGTTTCGACTCAAAATAATGAATATTCCCGTTGCTCTTCCTTTTGGAACTTTTCATTTATACAACTTTTCGACTTTTCGACATTGAAAATAAAACCTTTCCACTGTTCAACTTTTTTGACTTTTCGAAATTCAAAATGAAACAAAATGAAACCTTTCCACTTTTCAACTTTTCGTTCTTCGACTTTTCGAAAGTATGTTTTTAACGTACTTTTCGACTGAAACTATGCACCACCTCTTTCCAACCCAGGATTCTGAAGACTTGCGCTTCAAGCTCCACAGTCGCACTATCAAGATGATAAAGATGACTCAAAATCCCAATTATTTCTCTGAGAATGAAAAATAACAGAACATCTCTTGAACCTTCGAATGGGTCAAATCATTCAGCACCCTAAAACTTCTAAAATTACAATGGTTCACAATCAAAAAAGATATCCAACGAGGTCCGAGCGGGTTTTTTTCCTTTCACCAACCAGCATGATGTATAAGTATACCCAACCCTTAGGTCCCATTGAAGGTCTTGGGTGCAGTCTGCAAGGGTCTTCAAAGGTCTCCAAGGCTAGCACTGATGAAGGTGATGTTTCTTAGCCACAATCCAAGCCTCAAAATCGGATCATGTTTCAACTGGCTGTGGGGTTTGGTGGTTGTCCCCACAATTTCCCGGAAGGAAAATCCTGTCAGTCTTTAATAGGGGAAAACTGATCCAATGAACGTGTCAAAGAGGTCAAAAAAACATGTTAATGATTTCCATTGCCTTTTTAGGCTGCAACATCCTTTCCCCTCTGAGCATTCAATTGCTTCAAATTTGCCTTGAGAAAAGACACTATCAAGGTAGATCTTGAGTTGATCATTACAGTGGTACCCTGCATCCAGTCTCTGGGCCATCGAGCTCATAGCCAGGCGCCTGGAAGAGTGGGCTCAGCAACGAGAAATTCTCCAATCAAGCGACAGTGAGTATTTTGTGTAGGGTGTTGAAGTGTTCATCTCCCCTTCTGTCCTTGTTGAAACTGCAAGACAAATCGGGTCCACCACTTTCACTCAGACCCAAATGGTGGAAAGGAAGATCAAGATTCCTCTGACCGATAATTCGAGCCACAAATGTGCAATGGTTGGATTGAAATTGCCATTTTATCCTCCGGGTCTTGAGGCAATCATTGGCCCACAGACCACGAGCAGTGAAAGTAACTGAGCAGAGGGGGTACTGGGCCATCAAACAAAAATAACCATCATAGACCACTGTAGAAAGTGGTAAACCCAATACTAATTACTAAACCATCCCAGTTTCATCTGAAATAGACAGAACCCCTTCAAAACTCCTTCAAAATATTGAAGCCTGATCCGTCCCATCACCAGAGTTTTTTTTTCCAAACGAGCTACAACTAGCGAGAGCCCCAGGTCCGCAACAGCTAGGTGCCGCAACTGACCTGAGATGGGGATGACTGGGATGTACTGACCAACACAACTGTCGTATCCCGGGTCTTGAGTTTTGGCCCATCCACTTCTCAGTGGCTAAAAACAGCATTGTATCAATTTCCGAAACCAACTTGTTGGGCCCCTATTGACTTGTATAACCTCAAAAGGGGACCTCCTTTTCCGGCCGAATAATCCAATCATCATCCACTTCAGTGGGGGAACAGGTTTCTGTGACCAGGGCACGCGTGAATAGATAGGAGGGCTTCCAGGCTGCTCGTAAAAGCCAACATGATCCACAGACCTTCCAATCCATGGGGGGGGCAACGATATCAATTTGCCGGAGTCAACCTTTCATGCACCGAAAAAGGATAAACACACATTGATGTTGCATTTGTCAAATATAAATTATCGATGTTGTTGACATAGATATCGCCTGTTGTACATATATATATATATATACACATCTACAATTATATCACTAGCGCACTTAGCGTGGGTCACTTGACTGCAGGTGCACCCAAAGGCCCCAGCACTGCAGAAGAGAGTGGCCAAACGCACGCCGAGCCAGACCTGGCTGTTTCAACTGATGAAACTGGAGGTCATCCAACAAATTTGGGACTGGCCGCCTGCGAGTGTGGCACTTCCATCGCCCCATGGCTGGCAGGGGCCCCCACAACATGGCAGTGATTTAACGGGTCACCCCATGTTTGACGAAGAATTTCGAGGATTCGATTCTTGCTTCGAGAAAGGCTATGAAGTAGATCAATGATCTTATGCCAACATCTCCACACGCATGCTGTACTTTGTAGTAAAAAACTGTTGTTTAGAGTTTAAAGGTGTAGCCACAAATGCCTGCAAATGAACTGGTTTTTGGTCATGGAACCCAGTATTGGATAGACGTATAGACCAATGCCTGTGCACATCACGCATCGTTGCAAATTTCACTGCAAATCCCATCATCATGGAACATGCATCTTCCCATCAGAAACTTGTCTCTTGCCCTATTTTTGGAAGATTGCATGCTTGTTGAGATGCACAGTTACTCAGTAGTGATGCTTCCCTTCGCAACAGATGCAGCAACGTGGTATTCCCTCTTTGCAGCCCATCTCCGCAAATATTAGCCCAAACATGCAACTGCCCATAGAAAACGAGCCTCTAACGCAGTATTGGCGGCTTTGGTGTTTTCCGGGAGGCAAAAAGGGGCCGAATGGAAACTCTTCAGAGGCCTTTTTCGAGCGTGTCGACCACTCATCGACCATACCAACTGCTTTTCAGTTGCAAGTCACTAAGGGTGAACGACTTTCCGGGGGTCCGCTTCTTTGCCTCAGGAAATGGCTCAGAACAATGGAAGAAATAGGCTTGGGAAAGGCTTGGGATGCCGAAAACGGGGCAGTGTCCCTCTCTGTCTATGATCATGACTTTTGTGCAAATCCCTTAGCAGAGGTTGGCTGCAAGGAAGGAATGTTCACTTGATTTTGATTCAGCAAGCTCACATTTGCTTGTTCATATTCATCCGTTAACCATGATGATATCGCCCTGGACTTGACCGGTGTCAAGGTATCATGTATCAATGGATCCACCTTTGGAATCAAAATGGCTCTATCTCAATAAGGGAAAAGCAGTATCTAAGGTATCTCGGTATCTCCCATTTTGACATACCGAAGAAATCTGAATCAATTCTCCTAGTTCGGAATCAGTTCGGTCTCATGGGAAGGTGAACTGAAGCTTCTCTTCCACCACAGCCAACTCAAGTTGAACATCTTGTAGCTTGTCGTCGAATGCTTCGCAAATCTCTCGGTTGCTTGAGCTGGCACAGTCCTTCTCGGCAAGGAGCCATTCCTTATACTTCTGCAACTGCTCAGTTTGCTGTGTCAAGTTGTTTTTGCGAAGAATTCCACCGAATTCGGCAAGCATTGCCACGATTCCACTGGGGCCAACCCACAACTTCCCAAATCTCGTATCCGCAGCCATGCTGAATACTGCCATTGGCTTTACACCGAAGATTGTGGCATCTTTGTTCAAGCAAGCAGCGATGATCACCGAATCGTACAAAGCCCAAATGACATTCTTTGCAATCAACAAACTCCGCCCTGCAAATTGAATCAGATCCACTGTAAAGGCATCGAAATAGAGGCGCCACAACAAGAATGGCACTTGAAGGCACAACAAAGAACGAAAGGCATCCAGCAACTGTGCCTTTTTTTCAAACCGCTCAGCATGGGCTCCCTCACAGAGTTCTCTGGCCCTGAACCATCCGCCGCAGCCTTGCTTTGCTGCCTCGCGGAGGTCTTGTTGCACTCCCTTCATTGTCATCATTCCATGGGCGGAAGCCAAAGCATCAATGGACACCACCATCTCCTTTGGCTCTAAGTCATCCTCAAACTGCACCCGATACCTCCCGGGAACGTTGGACACCTCCCGCCCCAGGACTCTACCTGGACGCATGGTGCCACCCAAGCGAAGGAGGGAACTTCTTGAATCAAAGGGAGAGGTGGTTTGGACCTGGACTGTTTGGACTGTTTGGACTGTTTGGACTGTTTGCTTGATGACTTCTGGGGAGACATCTTCCTCACCACCGCAACAACTGGTCTCCTTTTCCTTTCTGGGAGCCAAGAGTGTGTAGAGCATTTGGGAGAATAGAACAGTTGTGAAGGCAGTGGCAAAGGTTGCATACAAATAGTAGTACGGCCAAACGTTTTGCTCTTGTGGGCGACCAGTGCGTGAGATACCATACCCAGGGCAGCGAACAAGGTCCTCATTGAGGTTCTCGCTAAAGATCACCGCATCCAAAATGTCAAGATACGCTGTTTCTGAGAACTCTCCTGTTCCCACCCCTGCAGCAAAATACCCATGACGCAACACCCATCCAACCAATAGGATAGACATCCATTTGATCAACATAAAGACGATGCTTACTGGGATATCCTTCCTAAGCACCGTGAGGTGCGGTTTTTCGAGCTTCAGCATTTCCGTAATGCAGCAGGGAATTCCAGCCACATCAACCGTGGTCACACAGTCTCCATTGGCATACTCTGCGGTGCTGTTGTATGGCATGGTGCAAACACCTTCAACGTGAATATCACAGTCTTCGTAGCTCCAGTTGTGCTCCAGCAAGCACTTCTTCACACTGGCCGACAGGAAGTGAGCATTCCGCAGGTCGATGTTGACTCTATGGCTTTTTGCAGGGTTGCTTGCATTGTCATGTGCAACATAATACGCAGTCAAGTACAGAAGCCAATTCACAGTTCCAAAGAACATGTATATCACCGTCAGCCACCTCCCTGCATTTCGAGCAAGGCTACTTTTAGCTGTCAAACACAAACACCAAAATCTCACCATAGCGGAAACTGCAAAAACCGCCCAAACAAAGACGATGATCTTCTTACTGCCAATGGTTTCCGAATGAAGTCGAAAGAAGACTGTGTAGTGTTCATCGTCCGACATCCAAGATGTCATCAAGGCGCAAAACGCCAGTTCCACACAACATGAGGTGATGAAGGGTGTCCGCGTGGCGTGAAGCCGATGCGTCACGTTCACCGAGTCGATGGTCGCCTCGACGTCCGTGTCCGCCGTGTCCGCGTCGCTGTCGCTCGACATGGCAGGTGGAACTATCAGCACCGGTCGTTGAACGGTCCTTTTAGCCGCTTGCGCACTGGAACATCACCGTTTCCGGTCAAACATCGGAGGATTGCTGGGCCGTTTTCGACTGCGAAACTATGGGATCTCTGGAAATGTTGGATGCAAGTGGTCAGAGGGTCGAAAATGCCTCCTGGCTCACTGATCAGTCCCTGCATGTTCCTAGACCTAGGCCCCCAACCTTGTGTCATCAATTCATGCTTCGTAGCTGGTTTGTGGGAATTGATTCTCATCTAGAATCAGCATGATCAACCATGATCCCCCATCAAATCAGAGTAAACCACCAGCCAGGGCCAAAAAGGCTGCTGCTCATATCAAGAACATCCAAGAACCGTTGCTCCTTTAACCTGGGAACCGGCAATGGATACGCTGAAGAGAGATGTTGGAAGGCCAGGTTCGATTGAGATAGTCTCTACTCTGAAAAACGCAGCCACTGAGGCACTGGCACCAGAGGAATCTGGTGGTTCCGAACCTCCAAGCTTTGAATGTCAAGTTCGGTTCAGGCTCTTTTCCGGGTAACATTCGCATCCAAAGAAGCCTACATGGGTTACAAGATATTACAAGGGTGTGTCCAACAATTTCGTATGTTTTAAACTTGCCATTGCTGATATTGCTGGGGAAACTGATTTGGGATACCCTATTTTAGGGCAAACCTACATGTTCGAACATGTCTGCCTGTCCTGTTGCTGCAAGCTGACATGTTTCTCTTCATGCTTCCCATGGTTCCACTTCTGCAGACATTGACTTCGAATATGCTCTGCACAGATTCAGGTCCCTTGAACATACTCATAATATCTCATAATCTTCATCGTGTCATGATTCCGTTCTTTCAAGAAAACCTAGGACTACAAACAATGGTCGGCAACCAACAGTCCATCAACTCAGCTAGTAAAAGTAAACACATGTAAACACTAGACGAGCAGCAAGCCTGAAGAGATACCAATTTGAGTCGCTCCGCATCACACCCGCCTGCAGTGACGCGTCAAGATAGTGGGACCCCAAAATGAATGATTTCATATGGGTATGGATCAATACCTATTAATACCATTTTTAGTGGGATGAACATCCATTTACCAGCTATTTTGATGTTCACCAGGGGTACAAGGTTTTGACCCACTGCCATATGTCAGATTGAATACTATACAGATGGATAGACATGTTACGTAATGGGAACCAATTTATTTTGTGTCCATTTGGTGCAAAATGTTACACCCACATATTCCGGCTCTATTTTGAGCAATGCCTGTGCCCGTCATTGGCCATGGATGACAAGGGTAGCATCAATACCAACTTGGAACCTCGATAGATGGCTTCAGGTTGTAGAAAGCTCCAAGTGAACAGCTATTTTCATCGCGTAGAACGTCGTCCAGCTGCAACTTTGGCCACGATCGCTGCCACGTTGCCACGTTGCCACGTGACACTTTCCAGGTGAAGACATAAGGCTGACTTTTTGCCCTTATGATCCTTATTGATCCTTCATGCAATGCAAATCAATGAGACGTGTGGCAACTGTTTCATCATGTTTAACCTTGATAATCTTGATCAACCGTGGCAGTGGCAGTGACCGCTTCTTCTCTGAACATTTTGCCTTTTAAGCACGTTCGAATCAAACAAAGCTTGATCTTGAATCAATCAAACAATGTCAACCCTGGATTAATAAACCCCAAACGGTTGTTTAATTGGGGGGATACCATTTAAGTATCAGATGAAATGACTATTTGGGGAGTACCCCCCCAAATTCATAAATCATGGTTTAGTCTCATCCGGGGTTGACATTAAAGCAGAATCAGCCAGGAAAGGAGAATGCCATCTTCTCATCCGCGACGGCCAATTGAAGTTCTACCTGCTTCAGCTTTCGGCCATAGGCTTCCGTCATCTCTGGGCTCGTTTCTTTGCTCTCAGCCAGCAACCACTGATGATATTTTTCGATCAGATTCTTGCTTTTCCTTGGATTTACCCAAAAAATATCAAGAAATCCTTCTGCCCCCGCCCAAAAAAAAAAGATTCCAGCAGATCTCCCATTTCGGGAAAACATCAAAAAAAACCGTCGGCAAATCTGCCAGATTCTGCAACTCTTTGTTCCGCATCATTCCACCCCATTCGGCCACTGTCGCCACCATGCCACTGGGGCCAACCCACACGTGCCCAAACTTGCTGTCAGCAGCAGAGCCGATGACTGACATAGGTTTCACAGTGAAGCAGGTGGCTTCCTTGTTCGAGCATGAGAGGATCTTCACCAAGTCCAGTGCAGCCCAAATGGCATTCTTGGCAATCAACATGGTGCGGCCTGCGAACTCCAGCAGATCAACCTTGAAAGCGTCGAAGTAAAGGCGCCACAACATGAAGGGCACTTGAAGGCAAAGCAGGGACCTCAAGGCGTCAAGCACCATGGCCTTTTTTTCAAATCGTGCCAACCTGCTGCCCTTGTGAAGTGCACTGATCTTCAGCCATCCATGACAGCCCTTTTGGAAATTGTCTGCCTCGTTGGCTCCCTGTCCTGCCTCGTCTATGTCAGGGGAAACCAAATCATCAATGGACACAACCAGTTCTGAAGGCTCCAAACCATCTGAGAATTTCACTCGATACATACCCGGGCTCTCCCGTCTTAGCACATGGCCACGGCGGGTGCCGTCACTCGCCAGCTCAAGTATGGTGGCTCTACGACTCAGCAGAGAAAAGGTGTTGTCACTGGCCATGGCCACGCGAACAGATTGCTCAACCGCTGCTTTGTTGGTCACGTCCTCCTGTTCTTCCACATCTTGTAGAAGGTTGTCGCCCTCTTCATCATCGCTGTCATCCTCTTCTACTCGAGGCACGAAAAGGGTGTACATCATTTGAGAGAGGAGCACAGTCGAAAAGGCAACGGCAAAGGTGGCATACACGGAATAGTAGGGCACTAAAGTTCTCGCTTGTGGTTTTCCACTGCTTGAGATACCATAGGCAGGGCAGCGAACAATGTCCTCATTGAGGTTCTCGCTAAAGATCACCGCATCCAAAATGTCCAGATAGGCTGTTTTGGAGAACTCTCCTGTTCCCACCCCCGCAGCAAAATACCCATGACGCAACGCCCATCCAACCAATAGGATAGACATCCATTTGATCAACATAAAGACGATGCTCACGCGGATTTCTTTGCCAAAGACTTCGAAATGCGGCTTGTCAATCTTCAAGGTTCTTGGATTTGCTCAAGGCGCTCTCAAAAAACAAAACAATTTTCCCTATCCCCAGTTCTGGTAGATTTCCCAGGAGAATAGAAAATCACCGACTAAACAGTTTCCCAGGGATCTCGGAAATGCAACAAGGAATTCCATCCATGTTCACAGATGACACGCAGTCCCCATTGGCATAGGCCGTATTGGGGTCATATGGCTTAGTGCAAGCACTGCTCACATGAAGATCACAAGCCTCATAGCCTCGATGGCTTGCTTTGGACTGTTAATATCATACCATCTGGTTATGACTAACATAGCCATGGAAAATCACCATTTTTACATATTTTTACTAGGTAAACCATCTATAAATGGGCCATTTTCCATGGCTACTGGTATGTTAAATAACCAGAGGTACATTCATATACATTCCTTTTTTCGGGGGTCTCGTAAAGAGGGTGAGCAGAACACTTTGGGAAGTGGAATCTCTTGTCAAGAGATTTGGACTTTGCAGCGCCTACATAAAACAAATATGAAAAGGGCTGGCAATCTGCATCTGAGGGGCGGTCTATCCGATAGCGTCTAATAAGAGATGTTTTGGAGCCCCCCATTTCAGAACTGTATGATAGTGATACATTAGTAATGATAATGTTTGGGTAATAATAAGCAATCAATAATAGCGAATAAACATCAACAATACTGAATACTAATCAATAAACAATCAATAAACATCAATGATAATCAATGATAATCAATACGCGTACTAATCAATCATGATCAATAACTATCAGCAATCATCATCCCAGTTGATTCGCCGAAGGGTGGGTTTAACCAATCGACACATCAAACAAAACATCACCGATTTTCGAGCGCCGTCCGGGAAACTCCAATTGTTGTCCAGTAAGCATTTGCTGACGCTTGGGGTAATTGTGGCGGATTTGAAAAAGTGATCTTGTTCGGTGAGCTTCAAGTTGACTTCATGGTGTCTTACCACTTGACTAGCAGCATCATGTGCCACCTTAGATTTGCCGATGGAGCCATCAAAAAAGACCTCCGATAGATTCCCCAGTTCTGGTGGATGTTCCATTCGGAAAATGGAAAAATCGAACACCACCGACTGAAGAAATCCAAGCCACATAGTAGGTGGTCAAGTACAGAAGCCAATTCACAGTTCCAAAGAACATGTAGATCACCGTCAAGCACCTCCCTGCCTTCCGAGCCAGGCTACTTTCATGTGTGGAGCATAGACACCAAAGCCGCACCAGGACGGAGATCGCAAAGACAGCCCAGACGAAGACCAGGATCTTCTTGCTACCTGGCTATCTTCGTCGTGTCCCAAACCTTGGGATCCGTAATGTTAGGTAATGTAAGGGTACCCCAAAATAGCTGGGATTGACGGGAAAATTGATGTTTCTTCCCTAAAAATATCCCATTCAGAAATGGTCATTTCATAGCTTTTGCCCCACCATGCCCCACCTATCTTCGCCTCGTGCACTCTGAAGAAGACTGTATAGTGTTCATTGTCTGACATCCATGAGGTCATCAGAGCACAAAAGATGAGCTCCACGCAGCATGCTGTGATGAAGGGCGTCCGCGTGGCTCCGAGTCGATGTGTGATGTTCACCAGCTCCCTGTCTGACTCTGAATCGCTGGACATCGTGGATGATATCTGATGATCTGATCTGATCTGGGCCCTGAGCCAATTGGCTTGCCATGAAACAATGAGGGCTACATAGAAAGCACGCATCGATCGATCCAAAACAATCATAACACCACATCACACCCCTGCAGCCTTTTAAAACTGGGCCATATTCACCATTTTCCCAGCCTGAAACGGTCAAGTATGTCAAATTGATCTTCAACAAATTGACATACTTGACAAATTGAAGAATTGATCTTCAACAAATTCACCAACATTCTTCAAAATCTTCCAAGATTTTTCAACATGTTTCAGCTGATGTTCCTAGCAACGACCGGCACCTTGGTGACTGGACCAAGACCTGGAGTTGCTGAGCAAGGGCGTCCCGCGAGTGACAACTTCATTTCATAAGGAACTATGGAAAAAAAAACAAGTTGACCGAAAATCCTTTTTATATATTTTTAATTCTTTTTATGATTCTCAGACTATGGCAGGAAACTTGCATGCCCTTTCTTGAAGTGTCAAGAGGGTTGTCGCGAGCCGCTAGTCCTACCGGCCTTGCAGGGAACTTTAATAAAGGGGCTCGCATTCTTTTTTGGAGCTGGACATGCGATCTTTTCAGGTCGTGAAATCTCCATGAGGTGACTCAAAAAGAACACAAAAAACACACCTTTTGCCCGTGAAAAATGTCAAAATCCATCAAATCTCCATGGTCTTTAGAGGTCAATTCAGCACCACCGGCCTTTCTAAGCCACTTTCTCCTCCAACGCCGCTTCCTGTGCGGCGCGCCGAGCCTCTGTGCGGCTGTGCTGACATGAAATGGAAGTTGAAGGGAACATTTACGTGGGAAAACCTGGCTTTTACTGGGAAATTTGTGGCATTCTTTCTGTAAATTTCACCCTCTGAATCCAGATCTAAATCTAGAATGGCAGGATGGTAGAACTCACCCAGCCATTTTTCTGCGTGTGAAAACACACCCTTCCACCAGCTATATCATCCCATCGACCTAGCAGCTTTAAGACCAACGCTTTACGCGGACTGTGTTGCTATGTTGGGTGTTTTGGTTGATGATTTTTTGTATCAAAACCTGATGAAAACCTATCGCCAGTATCTTCCAGTATCTTCCAGCATGATGGCCGCCGCGGCCCAGGGCCCAGCCCACTGGGTTCTTAGGGCTCTCTTCTCTTCGAGCAAATGTTTGGATTCTTCCAGTTCGCGCCTGGCCCGGAGGTCCGCCGGAGGTGGCAACTACCGCCCTCAAAGGGGTTCATCAAAATCGCTGGGATTTTGATGGATGTTCATCCCCAAAATTGTATCGTGAGCAAAGCCATTGGATACGATATGGGTGATAAGAGGTATCATGGTTCATATCAAAACTTGAAGTGTTGAAGTTTTAGAAAGGCATCTGTGGTTCCCTAATTCTCAAATTTTGACCCATCTCCGAATATCGGACACAGGTGAGATGCAACCTATGTTGTCGTGAGACCTGGTCAGAAGGCCTCTGGAAACATCCTTCGGTCACTTGAGTCTCACCTTTCCTTGTCAACTCATCCTGCTAAGGTTGACCCTCTGGTAAACTAACATTTTGCGAACTGGAAAATCACCATTTTTGATAGGTAAATCAACTATTTCAATGGGCCATGGCTTCCATAGCTATGTTAGTCATTACCAGAGGGTATTAGTTTGGATGATTATTCCATATTATTCCCAATATGGAAAATAAAAAATGCTTGAAACCACCAACCAGGCAAATGTTTGCAATTGATTTGCCATCTGGTTATTTAACATAGCCATGGAAAATCAACATTTTAAATAGGTCAACCATCTATAAATGGGCCATTTTCCATGGCGATGTTAAATAACCAGAGGGTAAGTCCCATCCTCCACGTCCCTGAAATCGGCCGGATGGGCTCTGCGACATCCACTTTCTTCAGACTGGCGTGGCTTGCACGACCCGAAAACACACAGCCGGAAATGAGGATTTGGATTATATATATATATATGATTAGCACAAATACAGTACATAAATATACGTGCTTATATTTGGAATAGCCTTTAAGGGTCCAGGACTTCTAATGCCATTGCCGATGAAGATAATCTAAGAATCTCTCCATGGATATCCAATGATTCTGATATCCTACAAGAAACTGGAAAGATATTGGGAAAGCTCGGTCAACATAAGTCAACTCCAATGCGCCGACAGAGAGCTGTAGCGCGCCTGATCATGTACTGTAGAACGGCGATCGCCAAAATCATGGTGGGAATGAAGGGGCTCTTAGTGCGGGTGGATGGATGAAGAAACACCAAATGCTGAATTGGTCCCCCAAAAAAGCAGGGAATACAAATGGACCACTATTCATGGCTGGTGGCGTTATTATGGAGGTTTGAGCTGTTTACCAGCAGTAGGCGGCACCACCATCAAAATCGATCAACTGGCGATCAGGGTACGCCCTTTTATTTATCCAAATGGTCCAACGTGCGGTGGCATCCAATCAATCTAGTGGAAACCTCCGGGTTTTACACCGAAAAAACATGGATAGAACGAACGAAGCGAACCGCTTCTTGGCAGGTTGGCCAGCTGTAAACTCGTTGAGTCAACGTGGCAAACTGGGGTCAGTGCTCTGAAATCCCAGTTGCGCTCTGGCACCTGATATGGACCATGAGATCGCACAAATGAGCGAAACTTGGAGCAATTGATTGTTGAGAGCTTGCTCAAGCATCTGCAGATGTCTGCAGATATGAAATTGAACATGACAGCATAGGCCAAAACCATCTATAGGAAATACAGCTCCTGCAGCCTGCAATCATGGAATTCCCTCCAACAAATTCCCTCCCAAAGATTGAAGAGGGTCGGAATTTGGGAGTTTGAGGGTTTCAACGGGTTTCCACGACATTGAACGTGCCTCACCAACGTTCAGCTGAGGGCGACACCAGAATATCCCACAGCTGCTGGCTCCTCTTTGCATCTGAATCTTTCGGCTCCGTAGCTTTGCAGAAGTTCCGCCTGCCCAGTGGCCAGTGGCTTGGACCATTGGACACCCGAACTGATCCCGAAAAATAGGTGTCACCCGAAAGTGTCAAACCCTTGGGTCATCATTTGCCACATCTGGTCATCCAAGAACCTCTTCCAGGGCCTGTGCCACAGTCTGGGTAGCAACCTGCCGAACCTGGCAATGACTCACTGCGTACAAAGCATCAAGACATCAGCACAACATGCTAATGTTGAACAGCAGTATTGGTCTCGGCTACATCATGATTCTTTCAGCACAAGCAGAACCACAGCAAGCCTTCTGGAAAGGAGCATATCTGTAGGCCAAGTCGTCTATCCAGCTAAGTTCAAGGTATTTTTTGAATATAATGGGTTGATGATAAGAAAGCACTGCTTTCTTTGGTCCAAACCGCCCAAAACCAGCCATGAAACTGTCGAACGTGAGCATGCAAAATTCTTCATTCTTCACCATCTGTGCATTGCTTTGAACCACCTTTCTGCAGCCAGGATGAGTCGAAGTTTCCATGTCAATGTCGCCTTCTCATTCTCAAACAGCTCCATGGCTGAACAGGCAGTGTTCCCACTGTTGCTTGCTGGGAAGCAACATTCAACTCGGTGTATCACCGGCGGATTTATACCATGTAATGTCATGTCTAAGTATTTATGTGGTAAATATATCTATATACCATTTTTTACCATTTGTTTACCATATCTACCGATGGTATCAGCTTCAGAGACTGCTTGGGGACGCCCCAGTTTTGGTCCACTTGCTTCGACGATTTGCCGTTCACACGCAGGTCGCCGTGGGTCAACAGGCGTCAACGACAAACGTTGAGGGACCCCCGGAAACACGTGTTTTCTGGGATATGACTAGCTGTCTTTTGGAGATGGTTTAGGGGAGTCCAGATTTCTAGGGACCCATCCTGAGAACAATCATTACCATTTCGGCTGACCCTGGCTGACCCTGGCTGACCCTGGCTGACCCTGGCTGACCCTAGCGCTTGGCTGTGCAGGTCCGCATTCAGCAATCACAGCTGGTCACCCTTGTCATCCTCATCATCGGACGAATCCAACCTGTCAACAGCCCATCTCCTAAACCCTGGCACCATGTTGAATCCCAAGACCATCCAACAAGACAAATATCGGGAGGTCAGAGACCATCAGAGACCTAGGGACACCAAGCTGGGCGACCAGCCAGGCCCTCTGGTAATCACGGCAATGAACATCAGTGATTTTCCGATGATTTTCCCAACCCTCTGGTATAAAACAAAAAAAAGTTTGCGAATTGGTGGACTTCGCCATCCTTAAAAGCAGTGGACTTCAACGATTTCTATGGGCCATCTATACCATAGCATGTTTAATGGCTAAATCACCAGTTTTTTAATAGGTAAATCAACTATAAATGGCATGGATTAGGTAAATTCACTATTTCTATGGGTAAACTATGGAAAATCACCATTCTATAGTTGATTTACCCAAATTTACCCATCCAAAATGGTGGATTTTCCACTTCGCAAACCATCAAACTACCAGAGGCGAAACCACGCAGCGGCGCACCCGATGCGATCCAAATCCCCGAGGTCGGGCAGGTCCGACTTCCACCTCCGATGTTTTTTTGGGTCCCTTTTTTCAAAAAGTTCGGAGCAGGTGCAAAATGGGACCTGTACAAATAGACATATCATGTGCATATCCTATTTTTTTTTAAAAAAAATACGCATAATATGACTATCATTAATATATTCTAATATACTGTAATAATCTGTAATATACTATACAGTACATATTAATCATATAATATACATCGTCTAATTTTTTGTTGCACCCAGCCCGCCATCCCTGAGCTGCCCCACGTCCTTCGCCCTGGAGGATTCGCCTTAATTGCCTAGCCAAATGGTGATGACTTGGGGATGGTTGATGGGTTTGGTGAATCAGTGAATCCCACATGATCAATACCCTCTGGTAAACATACAAAAAACTATGGAAAGATCCGCCATGTTCAATGGGAAAATCCACTATTTCAATGGTCATTTTCAATAGCTATGTTAAATTACCAGAGGGTAGAAAACATCCGGAACAGAGAGGAATCATTGACAGATATTGAAAATCATCAACAAAGTCCAAGTCCAAGTCCCCATTCCGGCATAGAAAATGCTGGAAAATGATGGAACATGCAGATCTCGCACGTCGGTTTTCCTCAACATGTTCAACTTCCACCTCCATGGTTGTTCACTCGCTTTTTCAAAGGTGGAAGTATAGAGCCGAACTCGACACTCCCACAGGTCCAAGTCATGTTACATCATGTTACGTTTTTTTCACTTGACGCCCTAGTGGACAGTGGTTGTCCTGCAGCACTTTTTTTCAGCGGGGGTTCAGTCTGTGCAATGAGTCATTCAGCACATTTCAAGTTTCAACATTCCACGGACGGATGATTCTGTCCGACATATTGGGATAAATTTGTCATTTAAGGATCCGAAAAATCATGATCAATTCTCCCATTTGATTTGAGTACGTTTTCCTGGGATTTCATGAGGATTGTCCCAAAAACCCAGGGATCATATTTGATAGAGTAGATACATGTAGATACCACATGTTTCTTGTTCAAATATTTGATAAACTACCCATTTGTCAATATCATGGCTACGTACATTTATTTGTTCCCTGCGCTGAATTGACATGGCACAGTCTCAGCCTTTCCAGCTTGCGCCAAGCAGCTTGGAAGAAGAAATCAAGCAACACATCAGTTCCAACAACCGAAATTCGTGGGTTTAACCAATAAACATCAATAAACATTATTTTGACCGGTGACAGTTTGGCTTTTTGTTTTTTTCTCACAAACGCAACACGAACTGGGATGTTGGATCTGGACTTGCCGCAGCGTTCATCGCTGAGCTCTCAGTTTTGGATGGCTTGCACGCCAATGCTAGTTGTAATCATCTCTGACCTTGCGAAACCATGCTCTGCGCACTGGGTTACTGGGTTTATTCGCGATGTCCGAAGGGACAGAAAGAAAAACACACTATATATAGAAAAAAACAACGACCACAGTGCATCAATGATTTAATCATTCAATCCGATCAAATGCACTTCTGATGTCTCGCTTGTTTCCCTTTTGGTCATTTTTGGTCAGCATGTTGCGACACAGATCTCTGTTGAAGAGAAACACGAACAACATCAGGAGGACCATCACAAAAGGGCGACTTAGGTCAGGACATCTCTGCAAGCGTTGGATAATCAAAGGCCTCAAAGTCGCAATGCATAGCGGCTATGGCGAGATTGAGATTGTGCAGCTGAACCAGTGACTGTCCAGCCCGTGCCTGTCAGGTCATTTCACCACCATTTGTCACAACCGTGACTTGGCTCAGGAAAGGGCCCTTTTTCTTGCGCCAGCCATGCCGGCTGCGACCGGATCTTTGTGATCCTGCTGCTGTGGAAAACCGGTGCGCTGAGCACCTCATTTGCAATTGGGTTCTAACTATATCATTTCCATCACCTACGGCGACTTAGCTGCATTTGGTGTGGGTTTGCCCAATATAGCTCCCTGTGCTGCCGCTACATTGGCAGCGGAGCGATACGCTCTGGGACCTGGTGGTGTTGCGTGAGGAAGTCGCTGAAGGTGACTGGATCCGCAATCATTGCTTGTGTCTTGGATTGGCTGGTCTACCAGATTCTACCTGCTGGACTTCATAGACCTTTTGGCCGAGCTCTTTGGTGTCTTTTTCTTTTTGCACTTCAGGTGATACGACCTGAACCTTTACCTGGCCATTTTGGCCCACTCTGAGGTGTCAACATGTCCTCAGAGAAAGATCAGCAGAACATTCCAGCTTGGGATGGAAGCGCGAGGTCATGGAGGCGCTACACACGTGAGGTGTGTTGGTATGTCCGTGGGACGCCAGTGGAAAAGAGGCGCTACTGTGCCACGAAGTTAGTTGGGAGGTTGAAAGGTTCAGCTCGTCTCCTTGCAATGAGCTGGACGACAATGGAGTTTGATCATACACATGGTGTTCGAGACCTACTTCAACGCCTAGCTGCCAGTCCGCTTGTCAGACAAACGCTGCCGAATGCTGCAGCGACGTGCCAGCAGTACTTTGCCTTCAAGCGGGACTTCAACGAGCCGATGAACAACTTCTTGGTTCGCGAGGCATTGGGCTATGCGGAGTTCGTGGAGGCCTTGTTGTTGCTCTACGAGGACAAGAGTGGGGTCAAACAACATGAGAAGTCATTTGACCTTCCTGAAGAAGAACCACGTGATGATCAACACAATGGATGGTATGAATGGACCTATGATGATGGAGAACCTGAACCTGCTGATGGACCTGCTAGATCTCCTTCGGCATCTCCAGCCGCTGCTGCCGCAGCTGCTGATGGATCTATGGGGGCGACTTCACCTTTGCGACGTGCTGGTGCAACTGGAGCTGCAAGCGTTAGGTCAATTGGTGTGCCTAGCACTTCAGCTACTCCTCTTCCTCGACCTGGCGATCTTCATGGTGGTGGAGCGATCGACGAGTTCTCCTTGGCTGATAGCTTTGTGCTGGGGGTCCTTAGAGGTTTCAGACTGCTACAGTCTGCAGGCCTTTCTGCGGAGGAGAAAAGGGACATCCTAGCATCAACCAAGGGGAGCTTAGAGTTTTCTTCCATTACTCAGGCCTTGCAGACCTTGTGGGACGAGCAGTTCTTGAGCCGTGGTCATGGTTCTACTTCAATGAGGAGCTCTATGAGTGGCTATTACCAGGACATCTTCAATGCTTCTGAAGAGACCTACGACCAGAACTGGTGGAATGATGATTGGGGCGAAGCCTACTGGGCTGATGACTATTGGCCTGACTATGACTACGATCAATGGGGCGATGTTCAACATGCTCAACCTGAAGTTCCACCTGACGATGCTGCCACTGCTGCTGATGATCCTCAACTTCAAGATTCACTTCAAGCTGAACGAGAAGCAGAAGGACTTGCACTTCAAGCTCAACGCACCTGGGCAGAAGCGCAGCGCGCATCTGCCGCCTTGCGTCGAGACCGTGGTTTTGGCCAAATTGGAGCAGCTGGTGACCGAAAGTGCTATGTTTGTGGGAGCAGTTCACACTTTGCTCGAGACTGTCCTGATCGTCTACACCCTTCCAACAAGGGCAAAGGCAAGGGAAAGTTCAACTACCACACTGAGTGGGAGAATGCGGAGCTCTACTACATGAAGGGCAAGGGGAAGTCAAAAGGAAAGTTCAAAGGGAAGTCCAACAACATGCTGGACGTTCATGCCATGTGGAAAGGCAAGGGGAAGTCAAAGACATCTCCTTCGCGCCCTGCTGTCAACGCCTACATGG